AAAAAAATAACTTCTGTTGTGTTTATAAAATACAAAAGTAGGTTTGACCTTCTTTGAAAAACACTAATTTGTGTAGTATCATTAAATTTGAAGTGATGTTGGAGGACTTGTATTTTTTAGGTTAAATTATACTTACCTTCCTTGAGATTTGGGAAAAATACAGTTAGCCCTATACTTTTGGGATAATTACAATGACCTCCCTTTTAGTAAGGCTAAAGTGATCGAAACTAATGCAGATGATAGGTAGACACTGAAATAAATAAAGATAAATATGCATTTTAGTAGAAACAAATATGACAACATCATTTTTTCATTCATACAGCTAATAAATTACTGATGAAAAAAAAACCTAATTGTTATATGAATAAAAAACTCAAGGGAGATTAGTTTAATTATGTTGAAAGTGTGAAACTAACTGTATTTTCTCCAATTATCAAGGGAGGTGAGTGTTATTTACCCTATATGTTAGTGTGAAAAGATTGGTATCTTTTATTGAATTTGATGAAGGGTAAAGTGGAGATTTTAAAATAAATTTATGCTTACCTCATCAATTTCCATCCTGTTTATCAACAAAGGAGCCACAACAGGGAGTAGGACCTCCTTCGGAAAGGGGTTTCTGAAGCACCCGCACAGTTTGGACCCTGTCCAACTCCACGAGTATGCAATGTGAAGCCGGTGAGAGTCCAAATATGGGAAATCCATAGAAAATCCACTAATCACAAGAAATGCCAAATATGGACTGCATCATTAGACTCAGAGTCGCCACCTAATCTTTTGGGGAAGCTAGGAAACCCTGACTCGTGCCAAAGGCCAATGTCCGTCACAACCAAAGTGTCTTGGTTTGGGAGCTTAGGTATGAGGGGGGAAGTTCATGAATTGAGCAATTTTGCTCACCTGATCAAAGATCGGCCTCTACCAAAATATGAGAATTATTAATGCAATATGATCATATAACCTAATTATTAATGCTATCTTTACTATGTGGAGCAAACAAGTGTAGACCAAATCACTTACTTTGGAATGTTCTAATCTCTCGCCATTTGAAAAGGTTTTAAAAGCAGAGATCTCATAATAGACGAGATAACTGACTTGCAAAGAGATTGGCACCATCCCAACTTAGGCAATGAGGCCTCCATACAATGAGAACTCATAGAGATATAACACATAAGCACATAGTCTCATGGTAGTATGCTAGACATAATAAAAAACAATCACACAAGATGCAGAGATGAAAAAGGCTCATTTAGTACTCCACGCTATGCCATGAACGTAAAGAGTTAGAAATCGATGCATGATCTTAGATATTTGGGCTGAATGGTATGCACGGAATGAAGAAAAGGAGACTCAGCGAGTACTCTAGCCAAGTGCAACAATACACAACCGATTAGAAATATGTATGATCCTATATGCAAAAAGACCTATAAAATACAAAATTCACACAAATGAATCCTATGAGCCCGGACACTATCGATATGGCATATGAAACATCAAGAAATACACACCACACAACTATCAAGATACAATGATTTGAGCTCAGATGCATGGTTCTAACCTAAACATGTGAATGCCATGGTGGTTGAATAATAATAAAATTAAAGCAGAATAAAAGAGGAGAGTAAGGGTAGGGAGAAAAGAAACCCATTCCAATGCACACGACATGCATAACAATTATCATTACTTAAAATAAATACTCCGGTGAGGATAAGGAGGTGTCCTAAACCTCTTACACATGGACTACCCAAATCCGTGATAACGTGTTTTGAGAGGGTAGGTCCAACTTATCATCTTGGAGGAAACTGTGTTTGGGTTTCTACATCATCAATAATTCATAAAGAAGGCTCTAGCGAAGATAGAGAGATTCTCACCCTCTAACACATGAAAAGGGGTATAAACTATGAAGCATGGGTATTTCGAAAATGTTGCTGTACTCGTACCGGGTGCTTGTTGAGTATTGGTATTCGCATCGATAGGGCTTTATGCATATCGGGTACTCAAAATACGCACTACTTGATGGGTACATCGGTAGTACACCAAGCTATGGGACATTGGTGGGAATACGTTTAATTTATTAGAGAATTCTTGTTTACTTGAAATTACAAATCCTTTACTTGATGTGCCATAGATGAAAGATGTATTATTCAATGATGAAGTTGATGGAAGTGAAAACTAAAGCTTTAAGTTTTTAAATTTTGCTTAGCTTGCTTTTAGAATGAAATTTTGTTTTATAATTTCTCCTATTTAATGGCATTAAAATAGCTTATAGACTTTGCTTTGGTATTGGTATTGGTATTGGTATTGGTATTGGTATTGGTATTGGTATTGGTATTGGTATTGGTATTGGTATTGGTATTGGTATTGGTATTGGTATTGGTATTGGTATTGGTATTGGTATTGGTATTGGTATTGGTATTGGTATTGGTATTGGTATTGGTATTGGTATTGGTATTGGTATTGGTATTGGTATTGGGTTTGGGTTTGACTTGTTGAGTAATTTAGTAGGGAATCAAAGCTGAATATATTGTTCACTGAAATTCTTGTACATTTTGCTGTTTCTGTACTTGGTGTGATGTGAAGTTTTGAGGTAAGAATTGGCAAACTTGTGGAGAATCATGCGTGGTTGTGGGAGACCAGACCGTATAATAGCTGGAGGTTCCATTAAGATCCAGTTTACAGTCACAAAGTCAGTTTTGATCTGCAAGTAGCTAGTTCTTGTAAATTATGTTTGGTCATGCTAGATAGCCCTCGTCATCCATGTTATTGGAGTTTCTCATTCTGACATAATAGAGAAGTAACGATAAACAAACAAACGAAAATAAAAGTTATGAAACCTAATAATAAGGGGCCAAATTGCGGAAGAAAATTTTCTAAAATTGTCTGTTGAGCTGTGCATACATGGCTTAACCAAACATTCATACATTCACATAATAACTCACACCATACGTATATTCACATTAAGTATGCCATAGGATTATTCAAAACCAGTGTCAACAAAAGTTCAAATTATACACCAGGTTAGTCAAGGTTGGTCATACATGACCACAGCAGGTTCAAAGAGCAGTAAAGCAAAAGCAAGACCTCTTGCGTGAGGCGACTCTGGTTAATCTCTCAAAACATGGTTTCTCATCGCTCACTGGGGCTGGGCTGCACATCCCGCTGTTCACCTACATACATAAATATAAACAGTGAGGTAATGCCCAGTGAATAATACCAGAGTAAAGAGGTTAATGAATGAGATTCGTTCATGAATAGGTCATACTTATAATTTAAACAGTTGCACTATTATTCCCATTCATATCAGATTTATAGACCATAACAAGCAAAACGACCTCGGGTCTAGCACATCGTATTCATGTACAAAACGACCTCAGGTCCATCGCACACGAAACAACCTTGGGTCCATCTATACAAAACAGCCTCAGGTCCAATACTCATTCATAGACCAATTTCAGGTCTAATGGATAATGGATCCATGTATCAATATCCATCGGTCCTTCATGTCATAATACTAAATGACCTTGGGTCCAACATTCTCATATTCATAACTATGCTTCGCTTCCGTATTTATACTCAAAATGACCTTCGGTTCAATCAATCTTTATTTAAAACGACCTCTGGTCCAATCAATTCTTTATTCAGAACGACCTTTGGTCTATTCATCAATCATACAAAACGGCCTGCGGCCCAATTCATGTATAAGATGACTTTTAGTCTATCTTGTTAAACATTCCAAATGGCCTTAGGCCCCATCTATGTCCTTGTCAAATATACCAAACGGCCTTAGGCTCATTTTCCATTTTCATGACATTCATTTTACAGATTCTTTCACGAAACGGGCGGATAGAATACTCATTCATAAGTTTAGAAATTACCACGTAGACAACATTTAGGAAATAATGCATATACAAAAATATATTTACTAGGATATTACTCACGGTGATCCGGTGCTTGATTCGCCCTTGCGTCGACCCTACATAATTCATAACACATTGGGTCATAATTCAATTCATTCCGTTCTTTAAGTCGTATAATGTTCTTAGGCTTCTTTCATGCTCTTTGATTCATTTGGAATGTCCAATGCATGCCTAAGAATGCTTAGAAGTGAAAAAGAACGGAAAACAAAATATAAAATGCCTTTACAAAATTTCTGAAACAGGGTCCTCCGCTCGAATGCAGCTTTGGTCGGTCAAGTGGACCCTTTTGGTCTGCAAAGCTTCTGGTTGCTTGTAATTTATGCTCGAGCGAGGTTTTTGACACTCGAGCGAGGAGTCACGCAAGGCAGGGTACGCTCGAGCGCAGATTCGTCCGCTCGAGCCACCGTGTTGTCTCTGCAAAACTTCTGGGAGCTACAATTTCACGCTCAAACGAGGCTTTCCTCGCTTCAGCGGACAAGCTGAATTCTGGAAAACCCAGAATTCTGTCTAAAGTTCTAACTTGATGTTCAAAGGTCCAAAGCTTGCAAGTTGATGCCAAAACATGGAAAACCATTATAGGACATGAGAATATGGAAATTTAAAACCAATTACTCAAAATCATGAACCTTTGTCCCAAATTCAAGCTTAAATCACAAGGTTGAAACTATGCATGAGATGAATTGTACTCTTATGCATGAGATGAAAAGTAGTAAGACTATAAAACATCACCAAAAATGTCAATTATAGCTTCATGCATGAGGATATTTCCATGAAATTCAAGCTCAACTTGGTGATTCATGCATGCATGTACACAATTCAACTCAATTTTTCCATTTCAAAGAGATTCATAGGGCTTGTTTGGTTTGTTTTTGGGAAAGTTGTTTTTGAAAAATTTTTTGGGGAGAGTTTAGAAATTTTTTTAGTTTGTTTGGTTGTATATTTTGGGAGAGTTGTTTTTTTAGGAGTTTGGGATGATTTGATATTTTGGGAGAATTTGAATAGATGTGTGTGAGAAAAAGTGATTGAGAAGGAGAGAGGAGAGAGAAAAAGTGATTGATTGATGTGTAAGAGAGAGAGTGATTTTGAAATTTTTTTGAGAAAAACTCAAACCAAACAATTTTTTAGAATTTTTTTTTCTAAAACTCATCTCCCAAATGCAAACCAAACATACCCATACTTTCTTTGTACAATTACATTCACATGAACTCAAGAATTAGGTGAATTCAACTTCTACATATTCTTATTACAAGAATCAAGGTTAACAATCATACCTATAGCTTGAATCTAAGTGTATTCTAGCTCAATTTTCCAATTCTCCTTCAATTCTCCAAGCTTTGAGTCTAAGTCTTCAATTTTGTGTTCTCTCTCTCTCTCTAATTGTCTCTCCCCCTCTATATTCTTCTTGGCTGATTTGAGCTCAAGGAAGATGAGTTTCATCTCATGTCTCCATATATATATAGTGGTGATTAGCTTATAACACAAATCTTGGATTAAGTCTCCTAATCATACATAAGATAATTACTCATTTAATTTAATCTAATTATTCTGATCCGAATCAATTTCTAATTAAATTTTATCATAGGCTCTAAAATTTTGCTAATTACGATGGTACAATAAATTTTGGTTTCTGACGTCTCTACGGCCCCTAATTTAAATTTTATAACAGAAAATCAAACAGATCTTTCTTCGGTGAACAGATAGAATTTCACAAACGCATATAATCATATAATTAACATTCAAAATCATATCAAGCTCATAATTATAAGCATGGTTAAGATTAATTAGCATAACACAGACCAAGAGGTTCTCCTCCTACTCATGAAGATGAGTTTAACTACTCAAATTCATGTAAAAGAGGTTCAAAAGGGGAGATCCGGTCCCTTCTTATAGAAGAAACCATGTCTGGGCTTCTAACCCATAATAAAATCAGAAAAAAGCAATTTAGACTTGGCCGAAGTCAATATACAGGGCTCTACCAACTACAAAAAAGGGAGAGAAGAGAAAATTCAACTAACTTATCAACAACTCGACAATAATGATCTCAGTGATCTCAAGAGAACTCCAGCAATAATAAAAAAAAAAAGTAGCGGAGATAGAATATTGCGAGAAAGCCATGGATGGAAGTAGGGATTACCTCTAAGCTAGTGAAGATAGAGCTCAAGTTGGTCACAAACTCCAATTCGAGCTCCCTCTGGCCAGCAAAGACTCTAGCTCCAACTCTCCAAGCAAAGGGATGATGAAGATAGTCCAAGTGTATGAATATCAATGTCCAAATCTCACCAACTCTCACTCTAATTGATTAATTAATTACCTAATTAACTAATTTAATTAGAGAATAGAATTAGGAGTTAGAACTAGGAATTGTGAAATAGAAAATTAAAGCCAGCCCCCAATTCTCTAAAATGAGGGGTTTAAATAGGCTTGGGGAGCTTGGAATATGCCATTTGATCCCTAAGGATTCGGATGACATATTCCGAGATGCTAGGGACACCTCATGAAAGCCTGTTTGGTTGATGTCAATAGCTTTCGCCGGAGAAGACTTGTTCAAGCGTCCATTTGTTGTCCGTCGTTTTCCTTCCAAAATTTGTTTGGCGGGACAAAAACGATTTGGGCGTGCTCACTCGAACATAACTTGTTCGGACGTGCTCACTCGAACATAACTTGTTCGGATGTGCTCGCCCATCTCAAAGTTGTCCATCTCGCTATCAAAAAATTGTTCGGCTGTGCAAGTCTTGTCCGGCCAAAATTCGTAGAAGGTTTCCCTTATCTTATCATTCATTATAGCTTTTCAAGTTCTCTTTTCTGAAAAATAGATCAATCATTTTGGAAAACACAACGCCAAGAATGGCCAAAATGAATGAACAGGTATCACATGCCTTAAAAACATCTTGAAAATATGTTTTGAAGATCTGAAAAACTCTTTGGCCAAAACGGGTATAGAAAGGTTTGTCTTGCTTCATCCCTGGCTTGTTGCTTGGAGTGGTCTCTGTTTTCATCATCGAGAGCTCTTCACGGAGCGCCCATGTCTTAAGGCCGGTCAAAAATAGGGTGTCTACAGGGAAGAATCTGAAACACTATTCCAAAGTAGAGCAGATGTCATTGTCGTTTCAAAAGCTTGGAGGAGGTATCTACAATTGTCATAACCTCAGGGGAGGTAAGTGAAATTTACCCTAATACAATTGGTTTCGTAGTAATTTAATCCATAAAATTTTCTTTCTTAAATAAGTGAGTCATGCACCATGCATATGCCATCTCTACATTGTAGATCGTATGTACTAATGCATTCATATAATTCCTGCAAGTTGACCATAATGGATGATTTTGGCCGATGTCATGGAACGTATGCAATTTTTTTTCGGGGTAAGTTTGGAGGGGAAAGGAGGGAGTTGATCTTTTGACCTCCTAGTGAGGTTCATGAGTTCTGGCCACTGACCAACCCTAGCAAGGTACAAATTTTGTATTGTATGTGCTAAAGAATGTGTTAGACACCTAAAGGGTATGGTATGAACAGTCTACTGCCTTTGTAAAATAAGCAGAGGACAATTAAATGGCCAATATTCAATCTGACTCTGCTTTTTTTTGCCTGACTATTTTCTGTATTTCTTGTTTATCTTGGAAATGAATGAAATTTTTTAAAACATTCTGATCAAAATCATGGTGATCCAGTGAGTCTAATTTTTGCACTAAAGTTCTGCTGGACAAGCTTCATCAAACTGTCAAATCTTTTTCCTGATACACTTAGAATGTTCATGGGTGAATGGTGAATGCCAATGACCCAATCTCATTCTTGCTGCTAAAGAATGTTGACAAGGCCTTGTTAAATGGGCCCAACCTCATTACAGGGGCTATGTTTGTATTTACAATTTTAGCACAATGCTTCTTGTAGCACACAGAAGAAACATTCTATGTTTTCCCTGTATATTCTGTCCTTTTCTGTTAACCTATCCTTTTTCCTTGGACTTATGTCATATGCCTGCTATGACCCAAAAAAAAAGTTATGAAAATTACGTTTTTTGCCCCATGTATTCCAAAAGTATTCGGAATGTATCTCCTACGTATCTATGCGTATCTGAAATTCACAAAAAATAAAAAGTTGGGATATTTTTTTGCCGTATCCAATACGTATCGCGTATCGGACGCCTATCCGTATCTGATACTCATAAATTATCAGTTTTTGAATAATTTTATTTGGCCAGGTACCTCGTTTGTAGTTTTGGATCTATTTAGGTATCTGTTTAATGCAAGCATTAAACATTGAATGTAGGGGCATCTCTGGTTGTAAATTCGTCATGGAAGAACCCTTCTGGGGAATGGCATGTGGGGTGTAAGTTGGTGTATGAGCTTTTTACAGACACGTTGACTTCTCGTTTGAAGGTAATCCTTATGTTAGTTTATGATCAGTAGATATTTTGCATTAAATTTGCACTAAAATTTTGTGGACAATGCTTCGTTTTTAATATTTCTTGGACAGAAAGAACGAAAGAAAAAGTGGGATGAGAAGCATCAGGAAGCCATAGCTGAAGCTGTAAAGTGTCTTGATGAATTTGACAAGGTTGCTTCTTTTTATTTTATTGGGCACAAGTCTTTCTATATGAAATGCCTGAAAACCTCAGTCATATTTTACTAACATGCAATAAATCACGTAAAAGAATTGGCTTCAGGTTTTCGTGCACGAGCTTTATTTGCATCCAATTGTTTTGTAAAGTCATACACTTTGGTGGATGTATCTTATTTCACTGCAATTCTATTTTACCTTTGTAGCTCTTTATGCCTTTTTTTGTTTTTTTGGAGTTTCTAGTAAAAGGGTAGACAGTTCTTGACTTGGGTTTGTTTGGGTTCATTGTATTTGGATGCATAACTTATTTATTTATTTTTGATAAATAAACAAACTTTATCAAGATAATATAAAGAATACAAAAACTAGCTTTAAGCTAGTGAACAAGAAATAAAACCATGAACAAAACAAACCCAACACAACGATTAAATAATCAAATCCTCTACAAAATCTACAAAAGTCAGCACATCTAGACCTACTGAAACCGTAACCCAACTATGAAGCACAGTAAGCAATCACCTCTCCGACCATGGCACCTTAAAATATGTGTTTATTCTGCTCCAACCAAATCAGCCACATCAAACCATGGCCAACAAGCATCCACGCCTTCTGACGCCTCTTCCCATCCTATCCCAACTCAACCCAACCCTACCCCGAGCCCAACTTTGCAATGCCTCCACCGTTGAACTTGGCTGCTCCCAACCCAAACCAAAAATAATAATGATGGACATCCATAGCCATGAATAGGGCTGCAAATGAGTTGAGTTGAGCCGAGCCGAGCCGAGCTTTACTATGTTTTTGCTTGTTTATTAAGATTTTAACAAACACGAACTTGAGCTCGAGCTCGAGTTCAATAAAAATTTAACGAACCGAGTTCGAGTCTGTTCAGGAGCCTTAATGAGCCAAAAAGTTTATAAATTTATATTTGCATATGAGACTAAAGTTACAATTGAAATTTTGATTATACAATGATATATACAATATATATAAACATACAAAAAAAAAAGTCAATATTTTACCAAAATAATAATATCTATTACCACTATTATATAAATGTACTTTTATAGTTAGCTATTATTTATATTTAAATTTTTTAAATATATAAATAACATATTTATCTTATTTTTTATTATTATTTTTACATTATTTAATATATAAATAATAAGTATTAAATAAGCCAGTTAACGAGTTGAGCTTATGAGCCGGGTTTTAAAATATTTGGACTTATTTATTAAAAATTTAACGAGCTCAAGCTCGAATGCAAAAAAAATTTAACGAACCGAGTTCGAACGAGCCCTTACCAAGTCGAATTCGAGCCTATTCACGAATGGCTTTGTTCATTTGCAACCCTCAGGGGTAGCAATACAATATTGGAGTGTTACTGCCCCCACAATAGGGGGCATGTAATTTGAAGTTGAGTATAGAGGAACTGGAGTACAGGGCTTGGTTCATATTCTAGACCAAAAAACGGGAGATGGGCAGAAAAGTTTGGCTACAGGATTTTCAGCATTTGCACAGGAAGGGAGTGGATTAGGGGATTGGATATAGTTATCTTATTTGGAGGCAGCTACAAATGGGAGCAAGCCTGAGCATGTCATCAGAATTTTCCATAGCCAACTGAAGGTGGACTTTGATGTCAACATTGATGCCAGGTCTTGGTCTTGCAAAGAGCTGGTTTCCTCTTTGCAAAGATACTTGGTGGGGCACTTCAGTGGCTAGGACACACTGATGCCAAATGCAAAGGAGATGCAAGATTGGGTAAACATAAAGTGTGTGTGTGTGGTTGCATAGTTGTCAAATCGTGAATCGTATCATGAATCGAAATCCTAATTTTGCGAATTGTGAATTGAATTGAGAATTGTCAAGATATAGTACAAAACTATACATAAATAAATAAAAATAAATAATAATAAAAAATAAAAAAATAAAACATGTTAAACAATCGTATATATGAAAAATGAAAAAACTAAATTTTGGCACATGTTATAAAATAATTCTTGTATAAAGACACGATTACAGCATCTAAATGGGAATACATTACCTTCACAACAACAGATATCAGGGCAAATTACACCAATCATAAAATTATTCAAAAATAATAATAATATAATTTCTTGTGACATTCAAAAAATAGACCTAGGAACCCTATAAATCCATTTTACCCCCCCTTGTGGTATAGGTGTGGAGCACTTTACCCCTTATCTTTTTT